ATAAGTTTTTACTATTTCTTTTCCATATGGGCAGTATAGGCTTTTAAGGCCTACAAGTAAAAAACTACATTTTCCGCAAAATTGACGTCACTTCCGGTTTTGGCCAGGAAATGGCGGACATGCGATAGTTCGCGCTGACGTCTGTTTCAGTGTGGGAAGTGTTACGAACAGCTGATCGGATCGGCAAAGCCTGTTTCTGGAATATTATGTTTTTGTTCCTGCAAGAGCTTTTTATGCAGTTTTTGCAAAGCTTTATGTGAAAGGAAACTGTGACCGAGGACAAGCTGATGCATCAGATGTAAGTACAACTCCTCTGGGTTATTGGGCTAGCTTACACGGTTCCGGTTCTACAGGGATTTAAAAATAGTTACACAAAACGGTGCGTGCTGCTCTGACCGGATTTAAAGGATTAACAATGACTTTAAAAAATAATATAAAATAGTGTGCAACACCACTGAAGTTTTTTTACCTCTCTTTTCAACGGCAGTCACTCTCCTCTCCAAATAACTTCTGCTCAGCTTTCCGAGCTTCCCTCGGGTCCTCTTAATCAGCGGTCTCCAACCTTTTTTGCGCCACAGACCGGTTTATGCCCGACAATATTTTCACGGACCGGCCTTTGAGGTGTCGCGGATAAATGAGGGAGGGGCTAATAATCGGCTCAGTCATTTTTAATGATCGTTGAAAGCCCAGATCGTAATCGTGATTAAAATTTGATTAATTGAGCAGCCCTACTTTGTAGGGTTACTAAAGTTGGGCTAGGTGGTAGATAATGTTGTGCTACTTTAGCAAAACAGCTAGGTTAGCATAACATTAGCACAGTGAAGTTGAAGGATGGCTGCTAACTTTTTTCCACTCGATAAAAGTTAACGTGGGGGTTCCTGATAGTTAGAGACAAATGCAATCACATGGCAGGATGCTGTAAACGGACCAAACTTCAGTCAGGAGAACAACTGAGATAATCCATCCACAATACGAGGTTAGTCATTAATATACTGCTACAACATGGGAACAGAGCAGCTGCCAGAGAATTCAGCAGTAATGAATCAATGGTACAGAAGTGGAGGAAGCGTCGTTTTTGGCTTTCCCCATATTTCAAAAGTGCCTCGTCTCTTTGCTGTGACTGTCGCCCGGCATAATTTGCAGATGATGTTGTTTGCAGCCGCTGCGATGCTTTCGACCAAAACAGACGAAGCTTGATGACACCATCAACATGCGCTATCACGGTATAGCTGTATAGTCAAAATCTCAACCGTTGGCCAAATATCATTTCTACCGTATACCGTTTATACTGCCCACCCCTAGGATAAACAAACATCAAACATGCCACCTGTAAATGTTTCCTTAATATAACGTCTGCAATATGTATACAACTCATACCACAGTCAAATTATAGAACCACTGACACACTGATTGTGCTATCATTAATACCAATAATAATAGTAACACACCTACCATCCCCACCCTTCCAATGGCCCCTAACATCCAGCTAACAAACTGATGACCCCTCATCAACCTTAGAGTGTGAGGAGTTGGTGTACATGCACTCATCAAACAGATGTTATCTATGTAAACATCTGGCACATCAGTAACCAGTATAGATGATTACATCCACGCACAGTGCACACAGTATTTCACAGGTGTTCTCTTATTTTACAGTAGCATCAACGAGCTGATCACGTGCACATCTCCACAGACGTAAGTGGGACCTGCAGACTGCTGTGGGCTGTGAGCGTGGTTATTACCCCACAGTGTTTACTTCCACTTCGTGTTCTTTCAACAACTTTACTGAGGTGAACACACTCAACAGAAATATCTGGTAACGTGACCCACACGTACCTCACTGCGAACGCGCGTGTCCTTGGAGGCCTCGCGGAGCCTCGGACATGCGCAGATATGTACACCTGAAGACGAACATCTGCAGCTTCTGTCTGTGGGTTTGTCTGCCGATCACGCCTGAGCCCCGCTGGTCCCCGTGGTCGCGCTGACAGCTGGACCTGTCCAGGTGAAGATGCTTCCACCGACACGCAGACACAACAGCACAGAGACCCGGAAACACATCTGAACTTTTCAGGCCGTTTCCTCTTCTTTGTGGCTCCGTCCCCTTCACCGTGAGGCGCGAACTGCTGACACCGGAAACAGGACGGCTCTTCAGAATAAAAGCCCCGGAGGCATTAGTCTTTGACTGGGAAACATTTTTTATATCTGAATCAGTTTATTTTAATCCCCATCTCTAAACACGGGAAAGTTTTAACACAGCATGATTCACCTCAGCTTTAGTTTCCATCAGCGCAGAGGACTCCACCCCTTTAAAGGTTGTGTTACTGAACCCAGGCGATGTAAAGGTGTTTAGTCTGACAGTGTACCCGAGCAGGTAATTATTCAATGCTTCCTGGGTTCAGTCATCACTCACAGATAAGAACATGAAGCTTGGATCTTTCCCCAGGAATGAAACCGAACCTTCCTGTGGTCCAGACTCCACCGTTTCCTTATCACTGTGATTTTATTTTGAAGGTGATACCGGAAAGGGCGGCATTGTGACTACGTTACTAAGCGAAGTTCAGAGTAGGTGCGATGGCCTCAGAGGAACAGCCCGGTGAGTGTGTGTGGAAATTATGTTTATTAAAGCTAATGCGATCTTTGTTCTCCGTCTGCGCTTCTCAAAGTCATCAAACTGTCTGAACAAAGAGGAAACTTCATTAATATAAACGTGTGTGCGCGCGCGCAGTTTACTGCTAAATTTTAGGTGAAAAACGCCGTTTGAGCGGGTTTTTCGTGCGTGACGCAGTTTTTATTTCAGTTACTTTCACTTTCGTGTAATAGATTACTGTGTGTGTGCAGGAGCAGCAGGAGGGAGGGCGAGGAGAAGTAGTAAGGACGAGCCTCCAACAGGTGTGGTCTCTGCTTCCTGTTTGTTCACTTTAACGTTTCATCTTTCAGTAAACTTTAACATTTAGGTCCCGGAGGAAACAGGAAACAAACACGAACGACCTCTGACTAACACATGATAAAGAAGAGCTGACAGGAGAGGAGGTGAAAGATGGAAGCTCCGCATGAGTGTGAGCTGGTCACGTGATTCTGTAGGTTTGTTCATATTGAAGTGAAGGTGGTCGTGCTCCCTCACAGCAGCACCTGTCAGCTCTCAGTCAGAACAGAAAAGCACTTTGGTCATGTGATATTTAAAAATCAGATAATGTTGTAGTTTTGTAAGTTCTTTGTAGATCAGCCTGGAATGCCCTGCACATGTAATCTGACCTATGACCTCTGTGTGTCTGCATTCAGTGTCTGATTTCAGGCTGGTTCTGGTTGGGAAGACTGGAGCAGGAAAGAGTTCCAGTGGAAACACCATACTGGGAAGAGAGGCCTTCAGAGCTGCTTCCAGTCACTCCTCAGGTATCTCTCTCTCACACACACACACACACACACACACACACACACACACACACACACACACAAAGTTGGTGAGGATGTAACATCCTGGACAGGGAGGAATGCTGGTTTGAGGGCGGAGTCGAGGAGGCCATTTACATGAAAATGGAAAGACCATCTCTGAATGGAGGAGGGGCCTAAGGGTACATCTGTCACCATCTTACATGCTGTGATTGCAGCCATTCCCCAGCTCTCTGTGAGGTGGGGAATGGCCCACTGATCAGTGGCCATGAGTCCACTGATCAGTGGCCATGAGTCCCAGCCTGAAGACGTCACCTGATGATGACGAAACGTTTCTCCCACTGAAAACGTCCTGATGAACAAAATCAAACTTTGGGATAAAACACATATTCACAGCACGGGTGAAACGTTTTCAGGAAACTTAAAGAAGACTCTTTCCTTTCCAAACTTCTTAGACTGAAGTCTCTGTAACGATTAAAGCACCAGACTGAGCATTCAGTCTGTGTCAAGTATGAGATTCATATTCACATTCCAGCCTCTGTGCATCTGTGCATCCTCCTTCATGTTCAGGTGAAGGCTGTGTTCATATTTGATCTAAATTCAGATGAACTGATCTGTTTCCTCCTCTTCAGTGACTGCTGAATGCTCCAAGCAGCAGGAAAGGGTGTTTAAGAAGATGGTCTCTGTGGTTGACACTCCCGGCCTCTTTGACACCTTCCTGCCTGAAGACGCCGTGAAGAGGGAGATCTCCAAATGCATCAACATGTCGGCCCCGGGGCCCCACGCCATCCTGCTGGTCATCAACGTGGGACCCTTCTCAGCAGAGGAACGAGACGCTGTGAAGAAGGTGGAGGAGATCTTTGGAGAGGGTGCCTGGAAGTACACCATCATCCTCTTCACTCACGGAGACAAAGTCGGAGCAGACTTTGACGAGTTCATAACGAAGGAGTCAGGACCTGAGCTGCAGGAGGTCCTGCAGAAGGCTGGAAACAGATACCACATCTTCAACAATCTCAAAGCCAACGACCGCCGCCAAGTCCTGAATCTGCTGAAGAAGGTGGATAAGATGGTGGCTGACAACGGAGGAGAGTTTTACTCCAACTACACCTACATGCAGGTGGAGGAGATGCTGAAACAGAGCGAGTCAGAGCTCAGAGTGTTCTTCAAGAAGAAGATGGAGGAGGAAATTAAAGCTGTTGAGTCAGAGTACAAGAAGAAACTGATGGAGGCTCAGGAAGAGAAAGAGCAGGAAGTGGAGGAGTTGAGGCGGTATTATCAAGCTTTAGAGAGCGGAGTCCGTCAGGTCGTGGAGCAGGTGGCCAGAGTAGACTGTTTTGATGAAATCCTCACCAAGTTTCACGAGACCCTGAAGATAAACTGAGCTGACATCTTCAGTTATGTAGCTCTGTGTTTCAAATTAAACTCATGTTATTGTAGCCATTGCACTCTGTTTACAACAGAGTCTGTTTTTATTAACAAGTCATTTATAGATGTTTCTATCAGGATCAACCTGATTCAGCTCAGTCCTCCAAACCCAATTCAGTCAGCACACTAGGGCTGTGCGATATGACCAAAATCTCATGTCCCGATATCAGACATCTATCGTCCGATAACGATATAAATCACAAAAATGTAACATTTTCTGTAAATTCTGTGAATCTCGGGCAGCTCGACTTGCCTGAAGTGTTCTCAGATGTGCGTCGTGTAGCTGGAGTCGAGTGTTTTATCCGATGCATGAAACGAAACATTTTTAGACATAAGCTGTAACGGCGCCGTTTTCTTTGTGAGTATTTATCACACGGCGTGCTGCGGGGAAAAGCCTGTTCTAACGTTTGAGTCTAAGCTTTATTTTTTAGCACCTGGCAGCTCTTTTTTACTTCTCATCTGTAAATAATCTGCATCTTTCACGTGATTCAGTTTATTTTGAAAAGTCTCAACAGGATCTTGACCTTTTATTGTGAAAAGTTTATGTGGAACATAAACAAGCGGACACGCGATGGTGTTACCGTCGTTGTTGCTAACGACGACGCATGAAAACAGGCGCTTGTCCGTCTGTAGTGTGGTTACATTAAATATAAGAGAAAGAGAGAACTGTAAGAACTTAATAATAACTACAGTGACCATCAGAACCATGAATATTGCCGTAAACAGTTTATTTTGCGACACCACGAAACAAACGATAGCGTAAAATGAAACGATAGACATTTTTATATCGTCATCCGATAAATATCGTTATATCAACAGCACTAATGCACAGTAATTACTGATCACACTCACAGCCCTCTCCACCTGCACTGGTTCAGAGACTCAAACTGAAGACTTTGGGTGGTGCTGTTCCAGAAGCTTCCATCAGCTTCTTGGGTCATGACTTTCCTTGTGCAGCCGATGGTGATGTTTACCAGGAGAGCTTGTGAGATCTTCAGGATTCATGGGCTGGAACTGGAACTGCTGTTGTAGCTGTATGAAGCACAAATAACCTGTAGTTTAAATCTCAGTCAGTAATGGACAGGATACAGGATGGGAGCATAAATCAGAGTATCATCTGCATGTTCAGTCTGTTCCACATAGAGTCATCATGTTAACCAAATGTAACTAAAGTGTAGCTGGAACCATGGTTCTTAAAAAGCTTTAAAATCAACAGAATCAAAAAATGTTTTACTGAATCAAATCTGTAAGCAAATGTAGTTTCATCACATCACCGTGAGTGTGACGTTATAATATCTTCATCCAGCAGACTGTTAAAAAGAAATGGATCATGTGGTGTATAGAATAGATTAGGCATTTTATTGTCACTTAGAACATACAGTTAGAAATTTTGGTGCATTTACTCACCATCAGAGTGTACATACATGTAAATACATCTAAAGGGATGAAATATAAGAATACATGTGTGTGTAGGTGTGTGTGTGTATGTCTTCTTTTTTCATTTTTTTCCTCATGTATATACACCTATGAGAAAAAACTGTACAGAATATTATAAAAATAAGAGTGGTAGCAGCAGAAACATGGTGTACAGAACTGCACTGCCCTAAATATACATACAATTGCATATTAATGAAGAGTGAACTGAGCTCCCAGCCCACTGTTCCTTCAGTGGGCTGGTTTCAGTCACTGTGCAAATGTACTGGTTATAAGATTGGAAACCTGCAGTCAGCTGAGACTGAAGACGTCACCTGATGATGACGAAACGTTTCTCCCAGTGAAAACATCCTGATGAACAGAATTGAGTTTTTGGAATGTTATTGATTGATCAACAGCCCTTTGACTGGTCTCTTCATATATGACCTCATGCAGGTCAGAGGTGTGTTGATTATCTGACGTGATAAGTCATGTGACTGTGTGCTGGAGTCTTCTTTAATATCTACTTGTATTAAAAGACTGTATTTTACTGTAAAATAAACTTTTGACATTGTTTTGGACTCTGTGTGATGGAGTCATGACAGGGACCTGATGGAAAATCTCATTTGTCCAGTGTTTTCACTTTTAAACACTGGGTAGCTAGCTCTATATTGGTGAGGAAAAGGTTGTATTTTTGTAACTTTCACTTTCTGTTTTTATATTATTTTGACTTTGATCCACTAAATTTAGGATCTAAATCTTAGGTTAGGTTCAGGGTTAGAGTGCACAATCGTGTTAAAAAAAAGAACTTCATCTGACAAACATGAACCAATCACCTCAACCTTTGACCTTGAAGATTCAAATAATGAAACCTTATGTTTTATTGTTATTACTCGTATGATTGAAGCAGAGCTGGCTGAAATCTTTGGCTAACGTACTTGACATTTTTGGATATATACGTACAGTCCATGATATTACGGTGTTATTGGGACATCATAGCGCTCTGTATTAAAAAAATAGAGAGTATGTTGTACATCTGTCTCCATGCCCTTTATATTTTACTCAGTATGGTTTCTTAAAATTTCCACCATTAAATAAAAGCATGGACACACGTCATGTTTGTCTCAAACTCAGTGTCAGTAAACAGTCACAGGCCTCAGGTACTTTTTAATGTCTCATTTCTTAGTTCACGTGATAATGCTGTAGTCATTTCTTCACCAAGTATTTGTGATGATTTTTTTTAACAACAAGGTTCTATCCATTAGGGCTCTCGTCTCATTGTCTGCTGCCTCAGTCAGTCTTTCTCCTGTGTGCTCAGCTGTCTTAGAGCAGTTTGATCCCGCCTCCCTTAATGACTTGACTGTGGTAGTTCATAATCTAAGATCATCACACTGCCCCTCTGATTGTCTCCCCCTAAGCTTGCTTAAAAACACTTTAATACTGTTGGGCTTTCTATTAATTCATTAATTAATATTAATTAACACGTCCCTTGCTACAGGCTGCGTCCCATCATGCTTTAAACAGGCTAAACCAGCCTCTTCTTAAAAAACATAACCTGGATGCAACTGTTCTGTCCAACTACAGGCCAATCCAAAAGTTCCTGTTCTGTCGAAAGTTTTGGAGAAAGTCTACCTACAGTTGCAGGCCCACCTTGATTATAACATCTCTGAAAAATGTTAATCTGACTTTACAACACTACATAGCACTGAGACGGCACCTGTAAGGATTTTTAATAATATTCTTTTAACTCTGGACTCTGGCAGCCCTGCTGCCCTTTCATTGTTGGACTTGTCAGCAGCTTTTGACACGGTTGACCACGACATCCTGTTATCACAGCTAGAATTTCATGCTGGCCTAAAAAAGAAAAAAAATTGTAGAATTCACCATGAAAAATAAACTGTAAATGTAGAACACAAAACCATAAATTTCACAATAAATAATTACCTTATATTTTTCAGTAAATGGCTATGAATTTAAAAATAAATTGTAAAATTGTTTATGGGTAATTCATGTGAAAATAACAGTTTTAACACTTCGTTAAATATAGAGAGTCTGTATAAAATAATACAGTATCATAGTAAAAAGTTGAATATTACTGTGAAATTCTGGCAGCTGTGGTTGCCAGAATTTCACTGTGGAAAATACAGTGATAATGTAGAATATATAACGGTTTACTTTGTTGAGAAATGTACAATATGAAGCACCTTGAGGCGACTTTTGTTGTGATTTGGTGCTATATAAATAAAATTGAATTGAATTAAAATTCAGTGAACTTTGGTTTTTGCAGAATTACATTGAAATAAAACAAATATAATTTAAACCTGTTAAAATACAATTCAAATGAGCTTGATTACCGTCTCCTATTGACAAAGCACAGAAGAGCTGCATAATACAAAACATGTCTTTTTATTCAAAAGTTCATATTTGCAGTAAATTACTGGCAGCTGTTGCAGCCAGAATGTCGTCTAAAAAATTAAGCTGCAACAAATGAGGCAATAAACATAACAGGCATAGTTTGCTAGAAACATGAACAAAAACCAGCAGAGACGATGATTCAATTAAACCGTTAATATCAAATAATCTAATTAATGACTAAAGAGGCACTGATCTAATGAATATCAAACTTAATCCAACCAAAAACTAATAAGTACATAATAAAGAGTCAAACATGATGTTTATTATTAATACTGGAAACAGAGACCAGCGATCACAGACGAGTTCACGTGAAGGAGTTACCGATCAAAGCCGACAGACATCTTATTTTACTGGTTTGATTCATGACAACAGACATGACCCAAAGATTTCATCTGTCACCGTTAAATCCAGTGGAAACGACGCCTCACAAAGAGCGCGCTCAGACACAGGACACGCCAGCACACGCTCAGCAGAGAGGGAGGAGTCCTCGCGGCGAGCGCATGCTCGACATCGTTCTTCGAACAGGAAGTGTCCTCCGAGTCACCTGACCTCAGTTTGTCCCAGCTCCAGTGGCGTCCATCGTTCTCTCTGATGATGTCGTCTACGAGGCGGAGAAAGCGCTCCACCTGCGCCCGCTCTCCTGAGCGAGTGTTGTCCAGCACGCAGTGTCGCCCCCGGCAGCGGGACACCAGGTCTGACACGCGGCGGCTCGACCTGATCGCGTCCTGCAGACGGCGTTCTCCCAGAGCGTCTCCGTGAGTGAACAGCACAGCGGCGTGTCGGGATGCCACGCCCTCCAACAGCTCGGTCAGGAGGGCGAGCGCCCGTGAGTCTGCGGCTGAGAGCTGGCCAATTTTCACCACCACCGCCACCACATGAGGTCCCGGACCGGCGAGCTGGGCGGCGCTCTCGACGTCGCGAAGCAGCTGCTCCCGGGTCAGACCTTCACCCGTGAGTCCCGCCGAGTCCACCACGAAGACCCGCCCCCCCTCTGCTTCGGCGCACATGTGTCCTCTCCCGCCTCCGTGGAAGTCGCAGTCCACCTCGAAGTGGCGGCGGCCCAGCACAGAGTTCCCAGCAGAACTCTTCCCGCCTCCAGGAGGACCGATAAGAAGGATCCTCCTGACCTCTGACCCCACACACTCAGCTGCAGGACACAGACACAAACATGTGACCATCTTCAGTGTACAGTCTGTGTGAGCGTGCAGTTCCTGTCTTACCTGGTGGGCAGTGAAGAAGCCCCGCCTTCAGCAGCAGCTCTCGGACCTGCTCTCTTCCTGCGTCCTCGTTGTTGAACAGGTGAAACCTCCCGGAGAACCTCGCCACCACACCAGGGAGCGGACTCTGCCGGTCCTGGTAGATGAAGTCGTGCAGTGACGTGTTCTTCAGGGCATCTCCACCCGTGAAGAGCAGGTAACAGCGGCTGAAGCCCCGCCCTCCCACCGCTGCGAGCCCCGCCTCCACGCCACGTTCCTGCTCGGCAGTGAATCGGTCCGTTTTAACCACCAGCAGGAACAGGTGAGAGCCGGGGGACTCAAGCACGTGCCGACAGCACCTCCCGACGGGCTCCTCTCGTCCCAGTATTCCCGGAGTGTCGATGACGAGGATCACCTTCCCGAACACTCGCCCCGCCTCCTCTCTGATCTCGCTCTCTCCCGCCTTGAAGGACGTCTTTGACTCAAATGCCGCTCGGCCCAAAATCGTGTTTCCTGAAGCGCTTTTACCCACGCCACAGTTCCCCAGGAGGACCACAGTCAGGTCTGGACCTGGATCAGGACCTGGAACTGGATCCAATAGATCCATGTGTGAACACGAGCCCAGGTGAGTCCAAACTGAGCGCGTGCAGGAGCCTCCAGCAACAAAGTGATGGATTCAGGAACATGAGTGTGAACACACACCTGCTTCAGTCTGACAGGAAGCTCCTCACACACCTGAACAGGTGTGCATGCAGTGTGTGTGTCACACTCAGCAGGATAAAACAGCTCAGAGAACCGCGGAGACCTGACGAAGGCACACCGGAAGTTACTGAGGAGTGCTCTTTACTTTCGAAACCAGATGACGCCTTCAAAATAAAGGCACCGGGACACTCTGCGTGCCGTGTGCGTCACGTGTAGCAGATCATCGACGTGTTTTTGTCAGTAATAATGACGAGTCGTGTTATTAGTGCTGAAAGAAATGTAAACGACGATTGTCCGGGTGCAGCCTTCAGACTGGAGCTCTTATTATGAAGGACGTGAGCGGAAGTTGTGTTAAACTGTTAAACATGCAGAGCCTTCGGTTTTTTTTGGGGGGGGGTGTTTATTTAATTTGCACAAAATATAATGTACAACAATTATGGCAATCTCTACAAAGATTCTATTTTTCCAACATGAAATAGTATCAGAACAGGCTGAATTCCAACATATCGAAGAAAGATAATGAACAGGAAGTATAAATAACAACAAAAAAATTAATTAATTAAAAAAACAAACAAACAAAAAAACAAACCTCAAACAGAATCGAAGTAAACAAGCAAACAAACAAACAAAAAAGAGATAATTAAAAGACATAAAATAAGTTATACCTTAGGGGTTTTCTAGCAGATCTAGTTCAACAATTATATGATTCAGATCCAGAACTTGTTTTTGTCCATAAACTTTACAGATGAGAGGAAGAGGCAGAGTTCTTTGAAAAGGTGTTTTTATTGTATAGGGGGATTTTAAACTGTAACTCTGGTTGTGTCTGTTTTAGTGGTGCAACGGATCAAAAATCTCACGGTTCAGATATATGGTTCAGGTACAAAAATAATAACACTAGCACTAACCCAGACAGTGAAGTAATCTATTAAGGGAAAGAAGCTTTTGAAATCCACAAGGTACTACGTGAAGAAATAATTGTCTCTGAACTATTAATCATGAGCCACTCTAATGTGAACCAAGGTCAGAAAGATCTGTAAGTCTGCAAAGGTTTATTTATAAGAATCTGACGACTCTTGATGATCACCAAGAGCTGTGATGACTCACTGCACTAAATTGAATCTTGTATAGTGAGAGAAACATTTCAGAAACAACACCAGCATTAAAGTCAAACATGATGCTGTTACTGTAATGGTCCACAGTTCCTTTACTAGTTCAGGACCCGCATCAAGCCATCAGGTCCTGAGCTTAAGTATAATCACACGTGGGATTCACAGCAGGAAAGGGATCTGAAGCACACAAGGAAGTCCAACTCTGAATGAAACAAAACTGTTGGTGTAGAGTAATCAGAGTCTGGAGTTAAATGAAATTGAGATATTTGAAATGACTTGAAAACCCTATGTTGGGCCTTGATTAAAACAATTCTGACAGTAGAGTGGACCAAAATTCCCCCCAGTGATGTCGACCAGTCATTACTAGTGGTGCAACGGATCAAAAATCTCACGGTTCAGATCGGATCACGGTTTTAAGTGACGGATCGGATCAATTTTCCGATCATTAAAAATAGAAAAAAAAAGACAAAAATTCTACTCGCCATTTACTTATTTAAGTATTTTTTGCCTATTAAAAAACATTCAACTGAAGACTCATTCCACGCACTCATATAAAAACAAATTAAGGTTCAATATGGACATTATGGACCATGCTGGGCAGCCTCTGCATCCTCTGCACATGGCCATAAACAACCAGAGGAGTCTGTTCAGTGACAGGTTGCTTCTCCTAAAGTGAAGGACCAGCAGACTTAAAAACTCCTTTGTCCCAGACAGTTTAACTGCTCGCTGGAGGGGAGAGGGAGGGGAAACGGGGACAAAGGAGGGGAGAACAAGTAGCTGTAGTGCCTTTTCACTGTGCAATAGTTTTTGTTAATATCCAACGGTGTAATAGACTCACAATACTTGAAATGTGCCGTTCCCTTGTATTCTTATTCCTATTTATTCTATTTATCCCTTTTGTA